CCCCCCCATACGCTTTATAATGTTCCCTATCCAGCACGTTTAACGTTAAACTGCAGCCTCGCCTTAATTTTTTAAGCTCGCAAGACGGTAAGCGTCTCCGCCTGCGTGGGACACAGACACGAAGCGCGTGTCGTCTCTCGAGCCCTCAAACAACAGCAAAAAGTCAACACAAAGACAGAGGGAGGGGGAAATGAGTTTCTGTGTTTAAATAAACGAATGACAGATTCCCTTTTAAATCTCTTACCTTGTGCTCACTCCGAGTTCACCTCCTGCCAGCTGCTCGCGTCTCTGACAGCCTCACCTAGTCAGATGCAAAGCCTCCGCCTCGAGGGAGCGCGCGTACAAACTAAAGCGCTCGCTCACGCGGTCAGCTGATTGTGAAAGAGGCGAGAGGTGACAGGCTCTGACACACATCCGGTTTAATAATGAGAGTTGTTAACGATAAGCTTCAAAATGACTGTGAAACACACTGTGTAAACACTTCAATACTTAAATAAAACAGTTTGAAAAACAATTGCTTAATGCAATTTTAAACTGTTGTTCTTTTCATACCACCGGCCTAAAAAAATGGCTCCAAAAAGGTTTCTGAATGTTTCATTCCTTTGGACTGTTTTCAGAGATATATTTCAATATTTATTTATTTTTAAATTTCCAGGCTAATATGTTAAACTGGTGTTAAATATTTGAGAAAGAAGGAACGATTGTAACATAAAATGCAAATAAGGCTGAATTACTAAGGGTGTCATTAGGGTGAAATCATCTTTCTGCTCAAAGCAATGGTCGTGGCAGTTTGAGGTCCTTCACTTCTTACAGCAGCTGCTCACACATAGCAGCTGTCCTGATAATCAAATGCTGTCACATGAGAGCAGATAAAAGGTGAATGGGCCGTTTGTTCTTCTCAAAAGTTTATTGTTTGCATTTAAACAGAGGAGTGGAGCTCTGCGAATATCAGCAATACACGTATATGTGCATTGTTTTTGTAAGCATTGTAATGTGTAGTAATGCTACAAGACAGATTTGAGTCTAATGAGAAGAAATGCTATTAAAAATGATTCACCCTTACGGGTCCCAGTGATGTCACCGGATATTTCATTACATGCACTCATATATGTACTGATAAAGAAATGAGCGCAGTGCTGTTTAATGCTTTGATTTTAATTTGACATGTTTATGCTTTTAAAAAAACAGATAAAATGATTTTAAAAGAAAGGAATGCAAACTGTGAACTTTTGGTTCTCTGTCTGCAGCGGTCTGTAATCCGAACCGCTCAGTCTGACCACTGGAGATAAAAATAGTCGTTAAGTCAGATTTGTTATTGAATTACGGTGTGTATTTCATACTGCTGATTCTAGCTTTTTACTACAAGTGCTTTTAGTTTCATTTATTTATGAAAATTATGTATTGTATATGTATATATATGATATATGTATATTTTTAAAATGTTATATTGTTACATAAAAATCATTTGAGGCCTTCCCCCCGAGACAAGAGTCAGTCTAAGTCTGCTCACCTTCGTTTTGTGGCGTTCCCTCCTCCCTCCTGTACTATAGCGTACTATAGTAAGGGTGTCTGGGTCTTCCCTTAGGAATAGGGCAAGTTGCTCGGTCATTTTGGGGGGGCAGAGAATAGAACCGATGCTCCTCCACATACATGAAAGAAGCCAGTAAAGGATGTTCAGGCATCAGCCATGTCCAACTGCAGGGAGATGGCAGGACAGGACAGAACATGCTCTTAGCTGACTGACCATTTCAGTGATTTAAGGCAAGTAGGTCTGCTGAGTGATAATAAAATAAAAAAGAGATTTTTTCTATTGACGTGTGAGAAATGATATGTAAGAAATTATATAACATTTATGATCCTAACTGAGAAAAAAACATTATAGTCAAATTTCCAGCTTTTTTTT